AGTTTGTAGTGTACTGTAGATTTTAGTAATTAGTCCTTTGTCTATATGTCACTGCTAAATCTCTTTTCCCAATCTGTGTTTTCTCTTTTTCCTTTAAAAAAAACAACTAAAAAAAATTATTTTATTGGGAACCCTTACAGATATCATAACAATCAGGTCACAGACTGATGATCGATTCTTCAACGCATTCAAGTTACAATGGCTACCACGTAGTCCAGAGTGAGATCAGATGTGAGAACTTCACTGGGTGAACTGGACTCCACTTCAGACACACATGTAACCTGAGGACTTGAGATGGAAAATTCACGGTGTCTGAGGAAGTAGAAGACAGCTGCACCAAGACTGTTGAACTGTTGGCAAGCAGAAAAACTTGGTTTGCTACATCATTGCCGTGTATGCTGTATTAAGATATATATTATTCTGGTAGATGTATGACTGACATGCTTAGTGAGTATTATTTTCAATTTTCCCTGACAACCAAATCCTATTATTTGTGTAAATAGTGTCCAGCCACTAAAGGATTGAGTCTGTATAAGTGGATAATTCAGGTACTGTGATATGGAATTAGCCTACATTGGCCTAATATACCTTTCTCAAAAGTGCTTAAAAAATTAGTACCAGAGGCAAATAAAAAGCAATATTAATGGAAGATCGTTATGCCCCGGGGGATGATCAATAAGACTCTACCATAATTAACAAAGAGGTTTTGAAAGAGAGTAGAATGCAGATAAACGAACAAACAAAACATAGATACAGGAATAGGTTTGGGGGCTCAGATTAAACCTTAGCTCCAATTTAAGAACAATTAATTTTTATATCTTGGCCCCGATCGGTACTTACCCTCAGGAAGAGAACACAGAAGATACGTATGCTATAGCAAAGTGTGTGAAGAAATTAGATGGTGCCCAGCTATCATATAAAATAGAGTCTGCAGTCTTAAAGGTTTGTTTCCAAATGAGCAACCACCTAAGTGAAATGTCAACTGAGTCAATATGGAAAAAACACACCATCATCAGTCCAGGAAGTTGAAGTTGAAGGAGGGAATAGTATGAGAGCCTAAATTGTTTGCAGAAATCTATGGATGACAGTGTAAACCCAAAATATATCTGTGGGATCTGCATAGGAAATAAGCCTCTGGTGATTTCCCTCCATTCATAATAGAGGGATGGGATGAAAGTGGTGACCAAACCGATTGCATTAGCGATTATAGAAGATCAAAAGGATAAACCTGACTTGAACAATTAAAACATTGTCAGTTGATACTCTCTCAGATGCCTTCTGGGGTTTTTTTGCTCATATTGGGGTTTATAACAGATGTGTTATGTCATTGTGGGCCACTCTAGAATTTTTGTTATATGTTTTTTCAGAATATAAAACCAAGGACTGATGAACCTATAGGGACAGCAAGTAGAATAAGAGTTTCTGGGTGTGTGTGGGGGTGGGGTGGGGTGTGGGGTTTAGTGGTTTGGGGGTGGGTGGGTAAAAGGGAACTGATGTCAAGGAATTCAATAAGGAAATGAATGGTTTGAAATTGATTATAGTAGCAATTGTACAATACTGCTCAATGTGATTGTACTATGGGATGGTATCTGCATTAACTCCCAATAAAATGGTTTTGGGGGGAAAAAAGAAATAAATAAAGGAAGGAAGAAGAGCGTTTGGGGTCTTAAAGGCTTGTCTTCAAACAAACAGCAATCGAGGTGAGGTATCAACTATGTCCACATGGAAGAAGCACACCCACCTGTGTGATCCAAAGATTGTAAGTAATAAAATCAGAAGGAATGAGGCAGAGAATGGTATCAGAGTTTAAATTGTGAGCGCCTGGTTTTCAAAATGCTTTGGATAACAGTGAAGGTCAAAAATCCATTTTCAGAGTCCCAGAGGGATTAAGCTTCTGGGGAATCTTTTCTGGTCATAGTCAGAGATGTAAATAGTCTTCCTATCAGACAGAGGATATTGTAAAGTCGATGATGGCAGATGTAATTAGGTTAGAATATAATGCCTTATTGTTTCATCTCCCCTTTGACCCCATTATAAAGTTATTTCAGTTTTTAATATTTTCTGCTTTATTAAAAAAATTTTTATTGGGGCTTGTACAACTCTTATCACAATCCATCCATCCATCCATTGTGTCATCTGCTTTATTTTTGATTGAAGTTTTTCTCTGATTTATCTTGTCGGTGTTAGTTTTTTTGTCGTGGTTGTTGTTTGCTTCCTATTTGTATGATTTTCTGTATATGAAATCCAGGATAGGTCGTTCTACAGCAACAGTCACTGGATGGATAATTAGCTAGGGTCATGGCAGGGGAGGTGGGGGGGGAAAGCAGGAGCCAACAACAGAGTAAGAACAGATGTTCTGACATTGAATGTGGTGATGACTGCACAACTCTTCTTAATATCATTGAATGATTAATATCATGAACGATATGTGAAGTATATACCAATAAAACTCTTTTAATTGGGTGAGAAACAGATGGTTTTCTTTGTTATGGTAATAATCCCCTATTGGTGTCTTAACCTAATTCTTATGCTGAGTTATAAGACATAACGTAGAGGAAGAGCTAGGAGCCCCGGTGGTGTAGTGGTCAGGCTTGGGGCTGCCAACTGCAAGATCAGCAGTGGCTGGGAATGAGGGTGGGGGAAGACAGGGCTTCCTACTCCTGTAGAGTTTCAGTCTCCAAAAACCACAGGAGCCGTTCTCCTCTGGCCTATGGTTACTATGAGTCGAATTACTATGAGTAGACAGATGGTAGTGGGGACAGGTAAGACAGATGCCATATGGAGATTGCTAAGGAACCACGGCTGCTAGAAACTCAAACAGACAAAGAAGGGCCTCCTCCTAGACCCTGAGTTTGAACCCCAGACCCCTTTGTGAGAAAAATACGTTCGTGCCCTTTAAAGCCATACATGTGTGGTTCTTCTGTTACAGCAGCATTGTTGTTAGGCGCTGGGGAGTGGGTTCTGATTCATAGCGACCCTACCCTATGTACAACAGAATGAAACACCGCCTAGTTCTGTGCGAGCCTCACAATTGTTCTTATATGTGAACCCACTGTTGAGCCACTGTGTCATATCCATCTCGTCAAGGGCATTAGGATTTGTGTCATTCCCTTGCCTTGCATGTGAGCAAGGTGGTCGATTAGCTGTTTATGATATTAGATTATAAAGACTGTGGCTTTTACCTTGGGCATGCTTTCTCTTTCTTGGGATGCTTACTCAGGGACAGCCAGGGGCCACGTTGCCTGAATCAGTTTATAGAAATGGCAATGTGGGGGGAAAAAACGAAAAATGGGGAGCTTCCTGCCAAGCCCCACATGAGTGAGTCTGGAAGGAGAACCTTCAGTCCTTCGGATGAGGCATCCACAGAGCACAATTTATTTGCAGCCTCATGAGAGATGCTGAGCCAGACCTCAACAGGCTCTTCACATTCTGAAAAACTGTGCAAGATGGTAAATGTTTATTGTTTTAAGCTAATTCTGCACATGAATAGATAAATATATCTCATCACAAATCATTCTCTTCCTAGAATGCTCTCAGACATATCTTGGATGTGAACATTATCATGTTAATATAAAGGAATTAGCTCAGGATTGGAGGCTTACAGCAGATCTGAAGGATGGATCAAATGGAAAAAAAGCAATGTGAGAATCACTGAAAAACCAGACACACACAAACACACAGAGTGTCTTCTGTTGTATCCATACAAACTCAACTGGTGTGGGCCCACGTCTCCTCTCCCTGTTCCATCCCACAAGAGGGCAAACCAGGTCATTGATGCTACCTTATACACCATGCCTTGAACCAAGGACCCCCCACGAACCATCCTTTATTCCAACCCAAATCCGTTGCCATCTAGAGGCTCTGTAGGTCAGAGTACCACGGCCTCCCAAGGTTCTACAGTTTCTTTGAAAGGGACGCTCAACTCCCCTACAAGGGGAAACTGGTGGATTCCAACCTCTTTCCATGCAGCCCTGAACCCAGCTGTCAGCGACGCATTGTGTTGCCTAGTAGCACAGCGTAATCCTGCAGAAATTCGGTGACCCTTTTGCCTGGACCTGTTTCCTTAAAGGAGATGACAAGGACATCTCCTAGGTCTCGATTTCTTTCAATAGGAATGACAATAGTGCCATCTCACAAATAGAAAGCTATAAGAATATACCGTGGAATGAAGGAGTCCCATGCAGGAGTGGGTTATGAGGTTGGACTACTACCAAGTGGAAGGTCAGCAGTTTGAAGCCACCTGCCCCTTTGCAGGATAAAGAGGAGGCCTTTTATTACTAGTTTTGGAAACTATTTTATTATTAGTTTTGGAAACCCACGCTCTCTATCCTAACATTGCCATGAGACCTAATTGACGTTGGGGGGCGGGGGTGGGTGGGGTGGCGGGAAGAGAGAGAACCGAGAGAGAGAGCGCGCCTGGAAACTTTAAGTGCTCTGAAAGTATTTTAAAACAAACAAACAAAACACTCAATTTATTGCAGAGATGTGGAAAATGAGGTTAAGTGAGGAGAAATAACTTTTCAAGAGCACTTGGCTCCGTCAGTAGAACATCTGGGATTCAAACCAGGGCCCCCCGCTTTCTGAACTTCCACCACGGGGCAATTTTACAGCCGGCTCAGGCTGGGGGAATCCTCACCGGAGGAGGTGTTTGCCCCGTCGGGGCGGAGGGGGCGCAGGGCGGCTGCAGGGAATCCTGACCCCGGCCGCCGTCGGACTCCGAGCCGCCGCTGGCATCCCTCGCCCCGCCCCGGGGCCTTTTCGGGAGGCTCACTGGAGGGGTGGGGGTGGGTGGGCAGGGAGGAGCCACGGCGCATGTGCACAGCTGGCTGCCCCCCTCCCCCGCCCCCTCCCCACAGCTGGGAAGTCCGCCTTGGCCCGAGCGCGCTCAGTGCAGGGACCCGGGGCTGGAGGACGCAGCGGGCGCTCTCCCTTTGGCGCTGGGAGCACCGGCCCGGCCCCTCGCGCGCCCTTCAGTCGCTCCGTGCCAGTCCCCGTGGGCCATGGCCCTGCGCAAGGCGGGTCTCGCGCCGTGGTGCCTGGCGCTCCTGCTGTGCTGCAGCTGCGGGGTGCTGGTGGGGGGGTCCCCGAAGCTGGGCAGTGGGGGCGGCGGCGGGTGCCCCAGCCGCTGCCTGTGTTTCCGCACCACGGTGAGGTGCATGCATCTGATGCTGGAGACCGTGCCCGCCGTGGGGCCGCAGACCTCCATCCTGTAAGTGCCGCCCGGGGCGAGGGAGGGTCGGAACCCCCGGGCCGCCTTTGTCTGCCGGAGCCGGACCTGCGTGCCCGCTCTCCGCGCCGGCCGCCGCCGCTAGTTGCCTTTGTTGGAAACTCCGGCTTCCACCGCTTAATTTGGAAGTTGTTGGGAGCAGCCAGGGAAATCCCACGGGGCCCACGCTCGGCTCCTCCCGCCCCTCCTCCGCCCTTCACCCCCTCCCGTCCGACTCCCCTCGCCTGGGGTCCCTTTCCGCCCGCCACCCCCACCTGGGCGCCCCTTCTCGCCTCCCCCGACTTTGCCCAGCTCCCAGGAGCGCGGCGAGCCCCCCAGCCCCCCAGTCCCCCCGCACGGCTGCAATCCCGGCCGGCCCTGTATTTACCTGCGCCGCCGGCTGCAGACTTTCCCCGGCCCATCTCACCAAGTCCGCCCGCTGCTTCTACCCAGCACTGCCCTCGAGAAGCATTCTGCAGCAAGCAACGGTTTTCCTCTAGGAAGAGAAAACGAAACCGTTTCGCTCCTGGGTTTAATTCCTTCTCCCCCCAAGCGGGTCTGCGAAGCTTCCCCGGGAGGCTCCCTGTTGGGTTTGCTAAGGTCTGGTGAGCCAAGGCCAGTCCAGCAGGAAATCGGAGGTACTGCAGAGTAGGGGTCTGGGTCCCCATACAAAACTTAAATTAACCTTCCCTTTGCCAGCCTTTCCTTTTATGTTAGACCTTCAATCCTTGGTATTCACCAGAAGCGCTCAGTTTTCTTTATGCTTGACATTAAACTTCACACAATGCCCTACAAGATAAACATACTCCGGATCTCCTCCCCGAAAACATGACCGGCTTGCTGACCCTCGCGCCCAGGGAAAAGCTCGCAGAGGGAGGGATGGACATCATCCTGCGCGCTGCCTTGCCTTCGGTCCCCGAAGGCCGCCAGAGTTCGCTGCAGGACTTGTGTTCTCAGGAGACGGCGATTCGGTATTTTCAAAATTGGTCTGGATGGGCGTTTTATTGAGGTGCCGACTGTGACTCAGTGTTCTACGGCCGCCTTTCTTTCTGAATGCAGAGAAAGTGTCTTGGCTAAAGCCAGAGAACTTTTGGCACCAATGACGAGCCCTGCAAAAGTTGTAAAGTTTTTAGTGGACTATTCAGGAAGTGGGTGGTTAATGTTTCTTATATTTAAAACAAAGTACATGGACAGAACACCTTTCTTAGCGGTCAGTGAGTGTTTTAGGCAACTTCCTGCAAGGTCCTGTGGGGCTGAGAGGAACGGAGAATGAATTATTCGCCGTCTTTGCAGTCTTTGTACCTCCCAAGAGGTGCAACGTTGCTTCTCAAAGTTTGAATGTTCACCAAAGGTCTCATGTCCAAGAGTGAATAGTATATAAGGCAATGGATTTTTAAAAAACAGGACAGGGCGAGGTTTCGCTGGATATGGATACTTTTAATTCTTTAGTGAGTCAGTGGAAAAAATGTGGACAATGGAGCCATTATTCATATCTGGCCAAAGTCTAATACTTGTAATATACTCTGCCTCCAAATCTTAATTGTTTTTTAAAAGGAACAATATTTTTATTTTTTAATTTTTAAGATCATTTTATTGGGGCTCATACAATCCATCCATCAGTTGTTTCAAGCATATTTGTACATATGCTGCCATCATTATTTTCTAAATATTTACTTTCTATTTGAGTCCTTGGTTTCAGCTCTTTTTACCCACCCGCCCATCCTCCTGACCCCTTGATAAATTATAATGTATTATTATTTTCATACATTACACTGATCGCTGTCTCCCTCCACCCACAGTTTCTTCTCCCTCCTCTCCCCACCTTCCCCTTCCCCTCCTGATATCGCTGCTCCCACTTCTGTACCCAAAGGGTTTATCTGACTTGGTTTCTGTGTGTCCTGAGCTCTTATCTATACCTGTGTACATGCTTCAGTGAAAGGCAGGACTGGGGTCTTGATAGTGGGGGTTAAGGAAGTCTCAAGGAACACTTGAGGCTTTTCATTGGTGCTATATTGTGCCCTGGTTGACTCAACCCTTCCTTGTGACCCTTCTGTGATGGGATGTCCCATTGTCTACAGATGGTTTTGGGGTCTCTGCTTCAACTCCCCTCCTTCTCAACAATATGTTCTTCGTTTGTGTGTTTTGTGTCTTCTGATGCCTGTTACCCGATCCCGTCCGACACCTTACGATCTCACAGGCTGGTGTGTTTCTTCCATGTGGGCTTGTTGTTTTTGCTTGTTGTTTTTTTGCTAGATGGCCGCTTGTTTAACTTCTAGCCTTTGAGACCCCAGAGAATATAGCTTTGATAGCCTGGCACCACATTTGCTTGTGCACCCATTTTGTCTTCAGCGATTGCACTGGGAGGGTGAGCATCACAGAATGCCTGGTTGTTAGAGCAAAGTGTTCTTGCATTGAGGGAGAGCTTAAGCAGAGGCCCAAAATCTGTCTATTTTTATGAATTAATATATTTACGTAAGTGTATACCTATGCTTATACCTCTATCCATATCTTTGCTTCCTAGATCTTTCCTCTGTTTCCTTTTACCTTCTTCCTTTAACACTATCACGATCATCCTTCCACCTGTTAGTAATTCCATTCAGCTAGATTGCTGTTGCTACAACCACCTCAGGATCTCTAAGTCTGTCCTCTTCATTGTTGGTGTTAATTTCCTAGTTGTTCCCCTGTTTGTGGTGGTGTTTGCTCACTGCTCACCGCTCCCTTCCTCTGTCTCCTCCTCCCTCTAAGGCCCTTCAAAACCATCGGTCCTGTTTCTTTCTCGTCGGGCTTGCTTCCCATGCCTATCTTATATAGGAAGGCAAACCAACATAGAAAATACAAAAATAAAACAAATAATTGAAAGGAACAATATTTTAATATGAGTAGCTATAGGACAAACTTGAGTGGCCTGCCATGCTCTGCACTGTATGGTCTTCTATAAACATAGCCAAGAGTAGCCATGACAAGAGCCAAGACTCTCAATAGTTGGAAGATTTACAGCAAGCATTTGCTTACATGTAAACCTTAAAATTTACAAAAATATTTTTGTTATTGTTCAGTATTATCTATTCTGTGAGATAGGCAAAATAGATGTTAAACTGATCAAATCCTGTATAGAATTAAGTAGATTACTAACAAAATGAGCACATACCCATTTTACAAATGTGGACATTCAGGCTTAGAAAGAGCAAAAAGAGCTCCCTATTACTATGATAAGTAGAAAATAATGTAGAACTAGTAGCTGGAATGTTCTTGTCTTGACACTTGCTGGCTAGCAGATGGATAGGATAACAGGTCACTTGACCTAGGAGAGCATGAGTGTTCAGCTCTCTGTACTGAGAGGGCTGGAAAATAGGGGTAGGAGTGATAGGGTTGTATGTTTTTGAAAACCAAAACAGAGAGTTTCTGTTGAATGTACAGCAGAAGTTAGGATAATAAGGGGAGAAAGTTAGGATAACAAGGAAAGGATGCCTAAATTTTCAGGTCTTGGTGTTGATGTGATAATGTTCCAATCTGGGACTTCATTGTAGTTGCTTATGTTGAATGGCTTTGTAGAACATGGTTGTGTTACAAATTCTATACATGCAGAAACATTTTCAGTTTTCCTGTAAGATCTCTACTCTCATGAACACGCTATTATTTTCTATTTTCAAAAAAAATATTTGGTAGAAATTGTGACCATAAAAGATAGGAAAATAAAGACCTGGCCCATCCCAAGGCAGAAGTTTCTTGAGGCATCCAACCAAGACATCACCTCTTTGCTTTTAAAGAGTGAACAAATAAAATGAGAGTCTATCAGATGTTACTGGAAAATATTAAACTTTTTATCACACACATTGTTTTAGGACTGTGTTCAAACCAGACCTAATAGTGGATTGTTTTGATGTGTGGTTTGGGGCAGAAGATATGATTATAAGACCACCTTGTGATTCAGGCTTGGTTTGGCCCTTGCGTTTACCTTCAAATGGAAAGTACAGTCTGGTATTCTAGAATAAACATCAGCCAGCCAACCTGTGACAAAAATGTTTCAGGCGTCTGGTTTTGCTGGTATGCCGCTCTCTAGCCATTTAAGAGAACATCTTCAAAACACTACCAAAAGAGATTTCTTCTGTTACACTGAGAGGTTTCTATAGAAATGCTTGTTTAGTTTTTGAATACTCTGCTATAATCAAAGGCTCCCTGGTGGTGCCGTGGTTACAAGTTGGGCTGCCAACCACAGGGTAAGCAGTTTGAAACCACCAGTCGCACTTTGGCAGGAATGAGACTTTTTCCTCCAATAGACTTGGTCTCTGAAACCCACAAAGGCAGCCCTACCCTGTCCTATCGGGTAGCTATGCATCGGCATTGACTTGATGGCAGTGAGTTTAGTTTTGTACACCGACTGTATTCAAGAATCCCTCACCGTGACTCAGCAGTCCTCTGGAGGGTGTATACCCTCAAGAAGTAAAAGTCATACCAGGAACAAACAGACCCACGCACCCCAGTGTTTATCGCAGTACTGCTTACAATCGCAAGGAGGTGGCAGCACTCTAAATGCCCATCAGTAGAAGAAAGGGTAAAGGAATTTAGGAATATGCACCCAGTGGAATGCTGTGTGCTGCCAAACAAACAATGGTGAAACCAGGAAGCATTTCATGGCATGGGTAGTCCTGGAGAACATTATTCTGAGTGAACGTAGTTAGTCATTCACAAAAAGACCGATCTTGGATGAGACCACTGATACACATCTATAAAAGAATCCCTGGGGGTTCTGCTGGGGGTTAGCATTGGGTTCCTAACCATTAGGTTGGTGGTTCAAACCCACCAGGTGCTCTGTTAGGGAAAGGTGAAACTTTCTGTCCCCTACATAGTGTTGCCATGAGTTGGAATTGACGTGATGGCAGTGGACTTGCCATGATTTTTAAACATGATACTCAGAAGTAGCCTTGGTGGTGCAGTGGCAAAAGGGTTTGTCCTCTTAACTGAAAAGTCAGTGGTGTGAGTCTACCAGGTGCTCTGTGGGAGAA